ATTATAACAATAGGTTTTTAATTTATATACACAGACACACACACATACATATAGAATGTTGTATAGCGTAACAGTAATGAAACTCAAATACGTAAGATGTTGACACTGTAATATTTCTGCTACTCCTGTAGTCTTCGTCAACGCTTAACATAAAATGAACATTGAGAGGTTTCTTGATAATATACAATATGTGAAACATTACGGTAGTTAATTAAGTCAAAAGCAAGTCGGCATACTATAAAGGAGTAATGATATGTACAGATAAACAGTGATCGCTGTGACTACAGGATTAAGGCTTGAAAGTGTCCTTGGGCAAGGCACTTTATCTACGGTTGTCTCTCCACGTAGGAGTGGGTACCTGGTAGCTTCAAACACAACCATGCGCTGATTACAACTGCAACATATGGGGCCTGAGAGTGTGTTGCATATGTGCTTGATCCAATGATCCGGGGTAATAATATAAAGCGCATAGAAGTCTCTACAATATGCGCTATATAAGTCGAAAATTATTATTATTTATTAATACCATAGAGCTATTAAACAACTAGAGTGCTGACAAGATGGCGAAGAAATGCAGAGTTGTGTATGTGTACCATCCATAGAGCTATTAAACAACTAGAGTACTGACAAGATGGCGAAGCAATGCAGAGTTATGTATGTGTACCATCCAATATGGCCGTCGTAGTAAACCTTCAGGCTTAGTATACATATTATTAACATAAATAAGCCCTCTGACTGGTTATTATTTCATTAATGATAATGAGTAATAATAATAACAATTTTTTTAAACTATCGTAGCTAAAACGAGCATCTTTTTCAAAAATAAAGTACCAAGGAATGGAAATTAAAATCGTGTACATTACACCCATATACCACAACGCTCGAGTTTCAAACATACGGGTAACTAGCCGTACTGAACTTTCTGAGTAAATTAAGGGCGCAATTGCAAATGATGGTGCTTAGGCGAAATTTGATTGGCTAAATGTATGGCAGCCATATTGGATGGTACCAAAGAGTATAAATAGTTCTATTTATACTCTTTGATGGTACCATAGAGATATAATAAGAATACTAGAGCGCTAACAGCAATGTATTCGATGTTCGAAATACGCTGTGTGTGTGTACCATGCAAGATGGCTGCCATAGATTCGGCCAATCAAATTTCGCCTGAGCACTATCATTTTCAATGGCGCCCTCAATTTACACCGAAAGTTCAGTACAAAGATCTTATAAACACAAGATAGCGTTCTCCGCGATTTACGCGTAACAAATAGAAGCGTCGGTCAAGGTTCAAAAGTTTCCAATTTAGCAAGAGGGCGCCATTCATGCGCTATTATACCAAAG